ATGTAAATTTCAGATTTTTTTTACTTAATGCCAGATACCGTAATTGAAACTTTATATAGTACTTATTTTACAATTAAATAATTTATTGTCAAGAACACTTTTTTTTAATGTACAATGTTTATAAAAATTACACACCACATATCTAATTACGGTAATAAATATAATAAAAATGGACTTCACATTAACTAAAAACATCAATAAACTTTTATTCATCCTCTAATTTTAAAGGGTTCACAACCTTTGAGAGTTTAGAATATTTGTAAACAACCTGTTCATCCAAATCATTATAATCCTTTATCGACATTTTCAACTCAAAATATCCTTTATTCAATCTACGTATAATTTTTGAATCCAAATATGGATGTTGCTTCTTTATATATGTAGCAACCTCCCTATCAAATTTTGATAAAATTTTATATCCAACCAACTTAAATGGTGATAAAATCTCTGAAGCAAAAGGTTCAACATCTTGATCTATTCCATATTCAATCAGTCCAAGAGAAAAATTAACATTTATTGGAACATGATACTTTTTAACAACTTGATTAACAAGGGTATCTAAAGCAATCAAGAAACTATCTACCAAAGCCACAATCCCTAAATTATCAATCCCACTACGACCCGGGTATGGTATTTGAAAATAATCAAGTTCTAGATCAAGTTCTCGACGGGATACATAAGAATTAGTGAAATAAGATTCTTCAGGCCAAAAAATTTCACCAGTTCGATAGAATTGCATTATATATCTAAATAGATGACCATCTCGATCAAAGAAATATTCATTATTATTCGTTGGATGAAGTAATGATTGATTTCTTTCTTGGAACATTGTTCCAAGAAGAGTTTCTGGATGTGCAGTTAATGTTGACCGATAAGTTTCATACTAAATATTTATTTACGCAGCAAAATAAATATTTTAATAATAAAGTTATGAAGATCGAAATTATTAACATAAAAAGATTTGAAAATTGTTTATATTTTTTTTTACCTTTATACCGCCGACATTTAAAATTATTCGTTCATTTGAGTTTATTCGATCGTTTGATTCTTCCATTTTGAGTAAGTAAATAGGGAAGCTACGCACATACGAATATACCAATCAATGCTTTTATATACCTTTCTAAAAATGGTGGTTTGTGTCATTTACATCATGTACGCATATGATCGTATAAATCTTTTTTGTCAAAAAAAAAAAAAAAAAGTACTGTATAATAAGTACTTAGCTTCGTTTATTCGTTGTTTTTAAATCTAAATATAAATTTGGACAAACACGAAATTCCTGACATAAAAGATTGTCTTTCAAATTTTATTATGTTATTTCTTTCGCATTTTTTTTTTCTACGTAAGACATTATTAGCATTAGACTTTATTATAATTACCAATTGAATTTTGTGCGGTGCTTATCAGGTAAATCCTTCAAAGATCGGCTAAATTAAATATTTAACATACAGTGAAACATTGTTCATTTAACAGTAAAGTTGATTTTATTTGATGGTTTAATTAAGAATCAAATACGGGATTTCAATTACGAGTATACCATCTAATCGCTAACAAACTTTACACTGACAAGTAATTTTCATTTTATTTCAGCACCATCATCCATCATTGCTCGTAATCAAAGGCTTTCAATCCTGCTTTTTAGAAAATATCTCAAAAAACTTTAAGCGGTTCTTTTTTTTACTTTTTGTTGTACTACAAACAATTACACGCAACGTTTCGAAATTTTTCCTCAAAAATGTAGGTAACATTGAACAATTTGGATTGAGGTGTGATTCTAAAAGGTTGCACGTGCAATTAATATTGTAACAAAGAATAATGATATAGCAATTTTATCAAATTAAGTTCGAATGTTCGAAACAATAGATAACTAATAAAAGCTACTTGTACCATACACAGATGTGCATTTTATCGCTTAGCTATGATATTGAATAGATAATCACTATAAAAAAAAATCATACGACATTGCTGTATTAGGAGCTCTTAGATTATTGCAAAGAATGTTAAAAGGAAATTTTACTTTTAAATATTTGAATTTTCGCATAATTGTGTTTACTAAGTTATGTGTTGATATTACATCAAATTGACCCTAAAGATGGCCATTGAGATACATTATAATAATCTAATATCGATATCGATATATAAAATAAATAGTTCTACTATTATACATGATCTGTATATATATATATATACTGTATAACCTTTTTTACAATCTTTAACATACATATTATTATCTAAAGTTATTTTCTATTCTGTTTATATTTAGATGTCTTTCAAAAGATATTGTGTGGTTATAAAACCAACTAATTTAAGGATTATTAAAATTTTAAAATCAAATTTTATCATTTTTGCTGATGAATTCGGTGAAGGTCTTGGTTCAACAATTTGACTAATATTTGGATTAAGATTATTTGAAGTTATAGTGACATTTGGTTTATAAGGATTTGAATAATTTAAAGTTGAATATCTAAAATAAAATTTATTAAAATTAATAATGAGTATAAAAGAAAAAAAAAAAATAACAATCTAAATTTTAGACGTACCCCAAAGTTTCAAGAATTAATATTAATTTAGGTCCGATAATGTTCGCACATCCACGAAGTTCTGTAAGAGCACTCATGGTCGCTCCACGGTCTGCTAAATATTTCATTAAAAAATCACTTGTAGCATTATATGTGTTAAGATCAACATGACTAACACTTGACCCTTGCTCATAAGGACATAAACTTGTTTCAAGGACAACCGCCTGCGTTGATGAGTTACTATCGTGCGGTAAAAATCCTAGTGAATACGGTGTGATCATTGTTTTCATCATGTTACGAGATATGCTATATTGAGGTGATGCCTTAAACTTGGACTTAAATTGTGCTTCACTGGAAAATTCTGTTCCTACTCCTCCTGCAAATTCATTAAGTTGATTCGTGATTTCTGAGGTTCTATGTCCAGTTGACAGATTTATTATATATTTATCAAATGCACTTTCAGTGAATCCATTAAATTTAAGTTTTGAATCTCCTTCTGGTATGAAAGATATATCTGGTGTTAATGCTGTCGGATTGTTTTCGTTGATGTAATCTTGCCAGTTAGATGTAAATCCTAATCCATGAATTATTTCATGCAAAACTACATATAAAAAATCTTGTTGATCTGGTTTTATTTTTCCATCTCCATCAAACCAAAAATTTGTTCCAGCTGAATTAAACATAGCCAAAATATCATAAGGTCCATATTCTGGATGTGATTGAAATTGAAATTGTTTAACAAGTGCTTGTGGATATTGTCGAACTAATCCATCATCATCTTGTAATGGTATTGTACGTGCTGGTGATGCTCCGCCTGTCAATTATTTATTTATTTAAAGTTGATTAAAATTATATATTTATATGGTTTTTTTATGTTTATAAATCGAGCTCTTATAATGAACTTACCCAAAGTTACAAGTCCTGTTTTGCCACCGCATTCGCCCAAATCAACACAAAAATCGATGTAACTAGCATTTAATGTTATGGGTGTATATAATATTAAAGTAGATGATATTATATTTCCCGCTATTTCAAATGCCTTTTTGACTTTATTACATAATACCGAATCTGATACTCCACATTTAAAAGTAACATCAAACATGTTCTTCTTTGAGCCTTGTACTGCCAAATCTGCCAAATTCGATGTTGAAATCTTTTTTTGTTTTGATATCGGACATGGTACGAGTACTTTATTATTTCGATTTAAAGGGTTTGGATAATCATAGCATTGACAATTAGATTTTGAATTAGGTTTTATTGATGATACGTAAAGGAATAATGAAAATATGATTATTATCATTAGCAATGATTTTTTCATCTCTTGCTATCTTATTATCGGTTATGTACGGGAATGAAGGGAGTGTAGGCTTGCACTCGAAATTTCAAGCGCGTTACAATATGGCATTTATTATAAATGCCAAAGATGTAATATTAATTTTATAAAGAAAGATATTAAAAGAATGAGAATTATTATTTCTTGGCTAACGACCAAGTAGAGGGATGAAATGATTTCCGATTGCTGCGTGTTAGAAATCTTATTTGAAGGAATTTTACAGCGAATCAATTGAACCCCTCGAAGCAAAGACCACGAAAATAATATTTTTTCATTAGTTCTGTTGGATATCACTTTAATTACAACTGTAGTACAAAATAGAATAATATATCTGACTGCATGCTAATTATATTTCATGCATATTATGCTACATCAAGATATATGCAGTATATTACAACATTCGTTAATTTTTTTTCTTTTTAATATCTTTTATGTGTCACATGTAGTCAACTTATTATTTAGTGTCATCGATTTTCAAAATTCATTAAATGTTAAATCGTTTGAAATGTGATACGTATACCGAATTAGTTAGTATTTAATTTATCTGTTGAGTCTCATTTCACCTTATCAATTTTCAGGATAAGGAGACACATTTTCGACAAATAACGTAGTACAATGTTCAATGCCAAAATTGTAAAGCTATTGTAAATGCGATATTTGTACGTAGATAGGTACCTAGCATTTTCTGCGGTTTGCCAATTTTTACCTCTTGGGTATTCCTGGTGTAAATATTCTTTGAAATTTATTACGTATGGTGTCCGAGTATAAATCAAATTTAAGCACTAAAAGCATAAATAAATTTAAGAATTTAGAGCATTCTTTATTTTTCGAATTAAACGACTTAATTCTTATAATTAATGTTTTTCTCGATTAATTTCATTCGTCCCTATTTAGTAAATGAGTTCAATTGATTAATTTTAAATTCATTCGTGCTAACTTTAGTAGGAGTACAATGATTATTTATGAATCAACATGTGGCCATTTCATGAATTTCATTCTATTTTAAGTATATTTTTAAGTATTTATCATACTGTATACGTATAAACATACATTCGTTTGCATTAAATGCATATAATTAATTGTGGACCCAGAAAACGTGAGAAGTAAATCTCGGATTTACATACTACACAATAGATTTATTTACAGTTGTATCTTTTATCATAATATTGGGTAAATGGAATAAACTCTTTTAATAGTTTTATTGCATGGTTAAAGCGACTCATATAATAGTTCGCTCAATCTATAGGCTTTTCGTGTTACCTAACCTTCAACAATATATAAAATGTGTTGTTCCCAAAAACTAGTCACGTGGCTGAGCTTCCTGAGATTAGTTATGTCACCCAATGAAAATAACCCTCCGAGACTATTTAAATTTTGAATAAAATTAAAATTCACCAGCGATTCAGTAATCCAATTTGAATGAACTTTTTTTTTTTTATTTCATAGAGTTAGCTAGGTTTTATAAAATAAAAAAAAGTTTATTGGATTACTGGATCATTGGTAAATTTTAATTTTATTCATAAAATCTAAATAGTCTCGGAAGGTCATTTTCATAGAAAAATTCCATATAAAGATTAGTAGGAAGAGTTAATTGCTATTGCAGAATATTGTTGGTTCAATTTTAAATTTATTTTAAATAATAATCAACTAAAAAAGCTTATGAACTCTAAGAATGCAAAAAGAAAGAGACACTTGAAGAGTTTACTACCACATGCACCGGTAGAAAAGTAGTATTTTTTACTAGATAGTACTGTATACGTATTATTAAATATGGTAATTATATTTAAATATTGTTTATTACCCAGTAATTAAATAAGGATTTGTACTATATTTTACAATATATTTTCTATAATTTTGACCAGTGATACTCTAACCCTAGCCCTAACTTAAGCTGAGTGTCATGTGATAGTCACTGGGTTTCTTGTTCTTAAACTACCCAAATTACATCTAAGAGTTGCTTGAGAACACCCTAAATTAATTTTTTGGTTTTTATACCATAAAAATTTTAGAATAACCTAGCCCACTACTTTTATTTTAATATAAAGTAACATCAATTTTTTTTAAAAATCCCACCTGGCTACGTATACGGTAAACCAAAAACAATATCGTGTAACATTAATTTGGATAAATTGGTCGTTCGAATAGATTATTCCTATAACGATAAGACAAACTTATAATCTTGCATGAGATTTTTTAAGAAAAATATCTATTTTATACCAATTTATGAGGACGGTTCTTTTCTATTTTATATTCAGAATAATTTTTTATGTTTAATATATAAAAAAAAAATAATGTTTTCAGTTTCTTAGAATATATGTTTTTTTATGTTTACATATCATAATAATAAATATGAAAATTCATTCTTATAAGTTTTTAATATTTTATTTATTTATCTTTTTTATATTAATTGTAAATATTAAAGTTTTTAGTCAGGACTGTGGGTTGAATTCACCTCCACATCCAAAACAAATTATTGGATATTTTCCTGCTTATAAGTTTGATAATAATAATAATGTAACAGCATATCAAAATATCAGCTTGTCAATTACTCATTTATACTATATTGGTATGCGAAAATTTAAAGATTTTTAATTATAATAATGGATTAAATTTAATGAATATTATTTTGTTTTAATTCTTGTAGCGTTTGGTCCAACTGATCTTCTTAATGGTAATGAGCCATATCAAGTGTTTCAGAACAAACTCTTAATATTTAATCAAACGAAAGCTAATTTTAATGGAAACAGTAATCTTAAAGTAAATAATAAATGCTAAATATAATTAAAAAATATTATTATAAAAAATGACTAATTTATTATTTTATAGTTAATTCTTTCAGTCTTATTACCTGCTGATGATAATTTAATAAAGTTACCTCCGTTTGCTAATGTTTTAAAAGGACAGTACAATTCAAACGATTCGGCTACCCAGAATTTCATAAGTGATTTAGTTAAAATTATTAATGATTACTCATTTTACGGAGTAAGTTTGTCTAGTTATTTTTTTTTTTCATTATTCAATAGTTTATTAATTATTTTCTTAATTACTTGTAGATCGACATTGATTATCCTAATAAGCTTCCATGTTTTCAATTCAGTAATACTATAGATTCTTTTTTCATACCGTTTCTAACTGATATATCAAACAAATTAAAACAGTCTAAAACTAGTAAAATTTTAACAGTTACGGCAGGTCAATATCCTATAAGTGGAATTAACTCTGATATAATTAGTTTTGTAAATATTCAGGTAAGATTTAACTTATTTAACAAGTGATATCATATATATATATTTATTTATTTATTATTTAAAATTTTAGGCATTTCGTCTTAATATAAATACCACACATTTCAGTGCTGGATTAGACGACATTCAAACAATTTTTGATAAATGGAGTAAAAATATCGATAGAAAAAAACTCATTTTAGGAATCGAATTGGGTGGCATTATTGAAGCTATGAATTTTTATAGTAATAATGTTGTTATGGACATATTTAATCAAAACTTTACAATTTCGCGTAATCGAAGCATTAACTTTCCATTAAGTATTGATGAAAATATTAAAGATCCATGTGATTTATCACCATATGGACGTGTGTCATGGAATACTTTAAGTGCATTCTTATCATCACCTTGTTATAAAAACATAAATACAAATTCACAACAGTGGAACTATAGCTTTAATAATAAATCTAATCAACCATATATTTACCAAACAGGATCAATTACCCAACAATCCCCCACTCCAACACCAACTGAAACCATTATCTCACCATTAACTTCTTTAGATAAACGACAACGACAACCACTACTACCACAAACATCACTACAATCACCGCAACCAACACAATCGCAACAACCACAACCGCAACAACCACAACCGCAACCATCACAACAACCACAACCGCAACAACCACAACCGCAACCATCACAACAAACACAATCATATTACGTCGTCTTTTATGAAGATTTTCAATCATTATCTGCCAAACTTGGCTTTATGCAAAAATATGATTTGGCAGGAATTGCGATTTCCGATATCACGAAAGATTTACAATTTGCGAACATTATTTTGGGAAATATAACACCAAGTACTTTTACACCACCATCATCTCAGTCTAATGTAGGTGTAATAATAGGCAGTGTAATAGGCACTTTCATTTTTATTAGCGCATTGGTGGCTTCTGGCTTTATATTGTATCGAAAACACAAAACCAAAATGCCTGATCTGCTCATAGACACAAACAAACAGGCTTGTTCTGACACGAATCACCAAATTTACTCTGATATGAATTGTCAGGTTCGCTCAGATACAAATAATCAGATTTATTCGGATACAAATAATAAGGTTTACTAATTATTGAAAACGAAATCATTAAAATTTAATATAGTACTATTTTTACTTATCGTTATTCGTAAATTTTTTAGAGTGATTTTTCTTAGAGGTTATGAATAGGAATAAACTAGCTAATAAATCAATAGACGGTCTAATGTGTTTATTGATATTTAATCAAGCAATTAGACAGTATGTTATATATGTATATAAAATAACGATAAAAATAACTTATCGTTATCGAGTAATTTCATATGCTGGTTTGATTTTTTTTGATTCACCCGTTTCACCAAAAGCTATTTTCAGCCAACCCCCAGGCATAACCATTTAAAATTTTCTAATATACCCTAAAAAAAGTACGTAACTGAGTTTAACTTTTCTCTAAATAAAATTCCTATTTTTAAATAGAGATTGTCCGGAATCCCGGAATTATCATGCTTTACCAGTTGATCCGATTACAACTAATTTTATTATTCCTGGGACACTTGATTAAAAATTAGACTATCGATGTCCCAAGAATAATGAAAATAGCATTTTATAAAAATTTTCGATGCAAGGTTAGTAGTGCTCCGAACGGGTCGGGTTGAAAAACTTTTGGGTTAGCGATCAACCCAACTGAACCCGACCAAACCGACCAGAAATTATTAAACTATGGTGCAGAACTTCCAGCCATATCACGAAATAATTGATTGCATTAAAAACTTAATTGCTAATTCGCGAATGAATGAGAGCAGCAGTTGATGCAATTTAATATGAAATTTATATAGAACAACAATCTGATTTTCCCGCGTACTATATAAAAATTCTTTACAATTATATTTTAATAATGCTCTCATTCATTCGTGAACTATCAATTGATAACTTTTTAAAAAAGCATTTTTTTTAACAAAAACTTTCTATATCAGATATTATATTCTTTAGAATAAAGAATACAAATATTGAGAGCTTTTTTTAAAAAAGTCTTTTATTAAGAAGTTATTAAGGTTTAAAAATACTAATAGTTTAAAATTTTCAGCACTATTATAAAAAAAATTGACCAATCATATTCTTTCTGCACCATAACTAGAGTATTGTTTTAATATTGCAACCTATATGTCGTAATATTACAATCCAAAAATTATGATTAACAGCCTAAATTACGTTAATGCAAGCCAAATCAGTGACATTTTTGTTGCGGAAATTTTAAATTTCATGATTCCGGCAGCTAACATCAGAAGCATATTGCCGGAGAATGTTCCATACCCATTAATTCTAACGTTACACGCAGTGTGTGAAATTCAAATTTAATTTTATATTCTCACAAATAGATTTTGAAATTTTTTATGTTCTCACATGTTCTCGGAGAACATTGAGAACATCGGTTCGGGTCCCGAATCCGACCAGATTAGGAGCACTAAAGTTAGGATTGGAACCAATCAAATTTAATAACGGTTTTATTAATATGACCTACCAATGACGTAAGTCACATAATTATAAAGATGATTTATAATCGATGGAATTAAAATCATCAAATAATGAACATAAACAATTCATTCAGAATTAAAATCATGAACATAAATGTTTATTTACCATTACCCAATAACCTTCATTCGCATTAAGTATAAAGATGTTTTATTAATCTGTGGCAAATTATGATTATAAATACTAATTTACCATTACCTATACTCTTCAAAAAATTTCATCCAGCAAATAAGTATTAGGTTATTTATCAATCGGTGGAATTAAAATCAGGATAAATACTTGTTTATCGCTACCTAATACTTTCATTCGCATTAGTGGTATAAAGATGATTTGTTAATCAATTATTATAAAACGCACTTGTGGCAAATCTGTGTAACAAAAACAAAAATAAATTTTTATAAAAACAAAAAAATAAAATTTGATTATTTTAGGGTTAGGGTGAGGCCTGAGATTTTATCTAATTATTAATATATGCAAAATTTAGCAAGGAATTTTTTTTTTATTAGAGTCTCAAAGGTGGTTTCATAGACAAAATTTTGAGATATTAGTGTTTTTTGAAAAATAAACAAAAAAAAAAAGCAAATTTTATGTTATATCTAATCTTAAATTTTGGTTGGCTATTCTAATAGCTTTATACAACAAAACAAATGTAAACACTATAGGTGTAAAATCATCATAGATGTGTTAGTAAAAGTGTTATTAATTATTGGAATTAAATCATAAAATTATAATCATAAATATTATTTACTATTGTCTATATACTCTTTAAATAATTTCCCCAACAAAGTGATTTATTAATCAGTGGAATTAAAATTAGCAAATCATGAACATAGATACTTCTTTACCATTCCCTAATACCCTTCAAATCAATTCAGCGAGTGGATATAAAGATCTTCTTTACTATTTCCTAATACCCTTCAAATCAATTCAGTGAGTGGATAAAAAAATTATAAATGGTGGAATTAAAATCAGCAAATAATGAATATAAATACCATTTCCTAATACCCTTCCTATCATTTAATAGCATTAATTATCAATTTATTAATCAATAGAATTAAATCATCAAATCTTGAACATTAATACTTATTTAGCATTACCTAATATATACCTTCAAATCATTTCATTTAGTGAGTATAGAGATAATTTATTAATCTGCGAAATTGAAATCTGCAGATCATGTTCAGAGGTCAGTAGGTAAATATAATTAATAATCGGAACTTTTGAATATAACCTACTGGTGCATCCATTCCTAATTGTTAGCACAACTGCGTTGCGCAACTATCTTATTCTGTAAATCCATCAAGGGAGGGTGTTATTGTTTATTTAATGCGTATCTAGTGAAGGTAGTGGTCAAAAATAATGTAAACGAGCCAATCGTATATTTCTTACCGTAAATAACCGGGTTATCCGGAGCTTAAATTTTAAGAGAGTCCAATCTCAACTGCATCACATCTCTAATATCAATTTTTTCGATTATTACAGTATATCAATGTTTGCAAAAATAAAATATGTATTTAATAATTGTGTATTAATTATTCTTATATATTACATTATTTGATCTCCAAAAAAGAACTATATTATACTAAGAGTTTTTCCTTCTTTCATCGGTTTGAATTTATTCTTGCTCGATCAAAGCATTTATTAATTTTTATTTAGAAAAAGTTTTTATATTTCTTAAAGTTTACAATACTTGAATATTTCACTAAACATTGTAATAATCAACAATTGAACTATAAGCAAAAAAGAATTTTATTTTGATTAAAATTGATTGTATATTACCGTGTTAAAAACTGCATTTTAAATTTAAACCCAGTGACGTAACTTTTTTTAGGTTCATGTCAAATTAAGTGGATTCGGAATCTATAGAATTCACGAATCCACTTACACAAGGACCTTGTATAATTTAGCGTGATATACAAATTTTATAGAGGATTGATTATTAATGGATTTAGGATATGATAAAATATTCAAAATCAAAATCCATTATACTATATAGAAATAATTTTATTAAACAAAAAAACACAATTTCTTTGAATATTGGGTCTCAGCAATATCAAAAGCACAAACGACTTAACATTAACTGATAAAATCCGAATGATAATTATGTGCCACATCCAATCATCCAACCACATCCTTGTGCACCCCTGTACGATCCCAGAATCAGAAAAGCTCATCAATCACCAGTTTAATTTCTTAAAGGGACCAAATTGATGACTTAAAATTGATAATTATTTAACCGTCAAAGTCGGTCATTTAAGTCGATCAATATATTTATTTAGGTTGGTTCAATTAACGATAACGATATTAAGGAGATGCGTACGTACGCACGATCTAAGCTAAATTAAGATAATGTTGAGACGGAACTATACAGTGATCAGCAAAGTCAACCCAAGTTGACCTTTTTATCCCCACCAAAGTGAAAATTGAGTCATTTAAGTCGTTGGTATCTTAAATTTTGGCATTACAGCATTATGTGCTTTAAACTTGATTAATGAAATCAGTATGCAAGGGCCAGTTCGGGGGTGTGTAGTCAGACTCATGAATACATCACTCGATTAAAATTTGATCACAGGTAAATCAACTAAAGTATCTAACATAGCTCATTCAGTTATCAAGTAATTTGGTTTAATAACTAATTTAAAGACTAGTGTTTGAATTCAGACGTTATCAGTATACTTTTAAGAAATTCGTTTGGTAGTTACGGTAATGCAAACATAAAGGTCTAATCCTGAGATAATAAATTTATAATTTTATTTCTTCTTATCATAATGGTGCTACTAATAACTACTATTGAATTATGTTACGATCAATATTTAAATCAAAACTTCATAATTAAACTAATGGCCTTTTTTTAATGACAAGAAGTTTCTATCCGAATGCTTATGAAATTTAATTAATACCAAACTCAAAAATAAGGAACAATATATAATAATCAAGCATCATCTAGTACATTGAACTGAATTAAATTATTACATTTCTAAATCCCTTAGAAAATTTTAAAGCGCCAGTAAAAAAACCAAAAATTTATTTTTTATAAATGTTGATGCTTTTGAATTAAATCCAACAAATATTAACATTTCTATGATAACGACAAATTTCAAATAACATCTTGTACTTTTCAATGTTTGCTGTAACATCTTTGTAATCATTAAAATGTTCATATGCTAATTAACATATTAGAAACAAGTAGATTATCACTAATAATTTTTTTTTTTTTTTTTTTGTAACTAAACTAAAAAAATTAAAGCAAAAAAAACATTATTATATGCGAATATTGAGAGAAGATTAAGGGGGAATGTCCAATACTTTTAAAGTCTTTACTATCATCAGTTTTACCTATGCTCATTTATCAGCAACGCTAGAATTAAATCTTTTAGTGTTGGGTTTGTTCACAGAATTATTATAAACATTAGTTTAACCATCATTATTAGTTTGAATTACTTTTAAATTATCATCAATATCCTCAACCTATAATAACAAATTAAAAGATTAATGTTTATAGAAAAAGAATGATACTAATGAATGATGCTTACCATATTTGAAGAGGAGTCTGTTTCATTAACTAATCGACAGGTTTGAGAAGCTTGATTTCGCCAAAATTTTTCAATGAGAGCCGTCGCATTTCGAAGGTTTCGTACAGGTTGCCAATTTGGTATCAAATTAGCATCTTATAAAATAGTTAAACGAACAAAAGAATATAATAATATATCTTTAGCTCAAAAGAAAAATTTCAAGAAAAGATAAATTTCTATTAATAATATTAGGACATTAAATTAAACCTTTATAAGATAATAATGCGTATTCTTCATTATCATTACTTTTGATGGCTAAAATGTCAGCTACCATAACTTTTTTGATACCAATATCTTCTCGTTTTTTAGTACAGTTTAGTGAGTTATTGACACTAGACCGTAAAGAACGACCCTTGTTCGAACCATTTTTAGCAATAGCTTTTGATCTTTTAACTCCATTAGATTTTATATCATCACTAATATATAAAGGTATCACAATAACAATATAACTATTATATACTGTATGATAGTTTTCTTTAACTTAAAAAGTTCTTTCATGTGCTTACTTTTGTTTATTGTTTCCTTGCGTTTGCCTTCGAGTTAAAAGTCTTGTAGCATAAGTCATTATGGCAAGGGGTATAAAGTTTTTTTAAGTAAACGGGATTGTTGCTTCTGTAAACCCTTTTATAAGTACATAGATACGCGTTCACGTGTACCCTCAATGTGGCTGATTGTATCACGTTAAGTCTGGTTTTGGTAAAGGAAAATGAATCTAAGAAAACAACAACGACAACGACATACCGATACATTTAAAATAATAATCGGCTAGTCCCGTAGTTTATTTATAATACTAATTTTTTTATATATTTTATAGGTTTCTATTAATAATCTTATTTTCAAGTTATTTCTTTTATTCACAAGAATATTAAATATTTAAATAACTTTATAAAAAGGATATATCTTAAACTCATTAAGTACTATGTCATTTTAACCACCCTATTCTCTCATTGGCATTAATCACTCTCTCTCTTCTGTCAATGATATATAATACCTTACTTAGTTCAATAAATAAAATCCATCAATGAAATAAATTCAAGAAAATTTAAATACTATTGAATTTATGATTTAAAAGGGGATGAAGTAGCTCATCACAGAATAATGATAATTCGCACGAAGTAAATGTGTTGTCTACTTTTGATAACAGAAGATTCATTTGTTATAGAATCGACTAATGAGATCCTCTGAACGATTGAATATAATACATATATATTGATATGAAAAGCTCACAAGTTAGTAAAATATTTGATTCTTGTAAATGTCGGAGAACCAAAATGAATCTAACATAAAATATCGTAAACTAAATGTCATCATGAAATACCTATTTGATAATTGACAATATCGATGACAATATCGATAACATTATCGAATTATTTCATGTTGCCATTTTAATGTATATTATGAAAATTTTTATAGTACATTAATCATCTAAACTATAGTATATAATATACCATCACCGTTTATTAAAACGAAACAATACTTTTATTTAAAATTAGTAGTTAACCCTAAAATTTTTTTTGAGATCCTATTAGATAAAATTATTTTTTATTTATTTATTTTGTCAAAAAAATAAAAAGAAGATATTATACAAAAGAACATGCTAGAGCTTACTTCAGGATATCTAGTACGTATATTGTATATATTTTGATTTGTTAACAAGAAATTGTATGAATTTTAAACAAATTCAAAAATTAAAAAAATTCACCCGAGCTGGCATTTAACCATGAAAGTCGTGTGATATATGAAATAGTATATAAACTCACATTTAAACCGATTTTCACAAAAAAATGAGTTTCATAATCCTGGTTCAACTTTAGTAATTAACCGGTTTGACATGGGCATGTCAATCATGTGATGTATAAAATCATATATAAACTCGCATTGATTTTCACAAAAAAGTCAATTTACAAAAAAAAAATGAGATTTCATATTCTTGGTTCTGGTCATTTTGGTAACATGATAGCTCATTATCTTCGAAAACATAATCATCAAGTTACTTTACTATTTCGTACACCTGCTGCATTAACACATTTTGAAAAGCGTAAACGTAAAATAACAGTAATGAGAGATAATGAATGTGATATCGAGCAAAGTTACGGTTACGATACGGAAATTTTACGTGGATATGATAAAGATGAATTAGTGGATCAATATTTTCATTATGGATCATATTCTTCAAATTCTAATATTCAAAGATTAATAGTCACCACAAAAGCTCATGAAGTTAATAGGTCATTTCAAAGAGTTTTTTATCGTCTTCCACCAACTAGTACTGTAATTATAATATCGCGTGGTATGGGAATTTATGAAGAGTTGATGGAAAACTTTTTTTCAAAAAATGAGAAATTAAGGCCAAATATTTTACTTGGTGCATCTACACATTTATGTTACGACATTAAGAATGTAGACAGCCCATTTGATATCTTTCACAGTGGAGTTGGAGGTATTGACATAGGAGTCATACCTAGACGTGATGAAAGAGAAAAAGAAATCCTTAAAAACTCTGAGATACTGTCACCATCGACAAAACATGAATTATCAAAATCAATATCTAAAGATAAAAAAGATATATCAATATCAGAAAATAAAAGAGAAGGAAGTTCGTTAGGTACTACAATAAAAGCTTTAACTCAGATTTCAGAATTACAAGTAAGGTGTATTAATGTTCTAAGTTTACAAAATCGACTTTTGGAGAATCTAGTAATTAATGCATGTATCAATCCACTTACAACGATTTTTAATATGCGTAATGGAGGACTTTTATTTAATCCTGGTGCAGATCGTGTATTACGAGCATTGTGTAATGAATCAGCTCAAGTGATGCGAGAACATAGAGAATATTTGGGAATGAGACCATCAAATAGATTTGGTCCCGGAAGGTTGGTTGATGCGATACAGCAAATTTGTCAAGAGACTGCTTCCCGAAAATCTGATATGTTAAAAGATGCTAAAAAGCGCTATATAATGGAAATTGATTATTTGAATGGATATTTGGTGAGATTGGGTAAGATTTATGGTGTACCCACTCCGTTACATCAATTAGTAATTGATATGATATATTTAAAACATAAGTTATTATCTGGTCCACGTAAAAATCTAGAAGAAAAATATCTTACAATATAAATTACGAAAGACAATCTTACCAGATTCATATAAATTATCAATAATGTTCGGTCATTTCTTTAATGTAATTGATTTGATAAATTAATAAAATTGTTTGGAGCGTAATGGATGACTCTATTTATGTGTAAAATGAATATTATAGCTTCATTTTTTAACTGTTAAGTATGTTTAGTGTGAATACGTTATGTATAAATGGGTGTCGCAAAGGGAAAACCTGGAATTCTTGATTTCGGAAATTTCACTTTTAGAAACAGACAATATCAGATTCTTATAAGCCGTTTCTGAAAATGAAATTTCGGAAAATTAACAATTCCAAGTTTATTCATTTTGCGACACTCAAATTATATTAATAATATTAATATATGTTTAGATGAAATCATAATTATTATCTTTACCTTGCACGTATGTATACAAGATATTGCTTGCTCTTCTAAAAAAAAAACTTTCGTCCTCGAATATCTAATAGTTTATATATTATTTAAAATCTATGTTTATTTCATGCTGATTGGCACAATGAATCAGGAATTTTGCGAATCTTCGTCATTGAGAAAGCATAAATAATTAACAGAGTAATTTAGACTAAATTCTGAACAATAAGTAGTTTTTTGAAGAAAAAACCCTAAATTATCGCCTAATGTCACCAGATTCTAATATTACACTAACGTCCGATTAAAAAAAAACTTTCGACATAAAGGAAATAAAAAAATTCTTACCTAAAATTATAAATCGTTTTTTATTATACACAAATTTAAATAGGAATGCGCATTATAATTTATATGAAATTTTACCTATTTGTTGTAGTAACAGATATAAAAACGAAAGATATTAATAAATTTTGCATTTTGAATCTTAACAGAGACAAGGTCCTCATCGCATAAAAAAACAAAAGATTTGTTATTACGTATTAAATTTAGCTATTATTAAACGGAAAAATAATGTGCTGCGCTGAAGATTTTTATATAAAAAAACAAAAAAAAAATATTGCACCCGAAGGCGCATCCACTCAAGATTGAACGTGTCATCCTTGTGCAGGGGCCATGCTAATCTTCTCTGTATCGTTCCAATTTTAATAAGTGTCGCTCCGAAGAGACGACACTATTAAGGGTGATCCTATCTTTATATATAACTTAAAATTATTCATTAAAAAAATTATGGGATTTACACATGACTTTTGTACTATAGACTATACCTTTTCTATGTAATTGGCTAATTTTTGTAGATCATTCCGTGACTCTGAAATATTAGAAAACGTTGATATATGTACAAGTTTTGTTAAAACCCTCTAACGCAATAGTCAATATTACCTACTTTATAAACTTGAATAATTTCTCCAAAAATATAATCCTTCCATAAAGTAATAAACCACAATTGATTCGAATATATAATAGCCTACTTACAAAATTAATGGAATAAATAAATTAAAATGTATTTATATATACAAACTTTTAATTTTACATGTATAGATATACAATATTAAAACTAATAATTCATACTTCCTTTCCGAATACGAATAAATGCTCTTAAATAAACTATTCTTGCAAAGGTTTGAACAGATATGGTGATCCAAAAAATGCAATCGATCAGTTGATTAAAAAAATCGATTAACAGTTAATGATCGATTATGATAATCGAATAATCGATCAACGATTAGTCGCTAATTTTTTTTGTTACACCTGATCTTGCAATTTAATTAATTGACAGAGAATTTCTGGAGGTGTTCTTGGTGTAGTTAATCAATAGTTTTTGTCAATAGATTAATAATCATTTGTAAAAGTCAATCGATTAGTACCAACTAAAAAATTAATCTAGATATCTCACCTTGACCGGTAATCTTGACAATTCCGTTGAGTAAAGCTTGAAAGCTTCATTTTGCTTCCCTTCAAATATAGTTAATAAACTATTCAGCTCATTATCGTGTCAATTCAAGTTCACTAATACTTACCATTACATAATGCCTCATCCATTATTTCGTTATAAAGACTGTTGAATACTTTAAATAAATCCATTCAAGTTCATTTCATCGCGTTAATTTAGTAGAATTTTTAATTTTCGGAATGCTTAAAAATAATCCATTCAAATTCATTTCATCGTATTAATTTAGTGGGATCTCAATTCATCACTTACTTGAATTATTCATTCAAGATAATTCCATTGCACTATTTTCGTATCTAGTGTAATTGATAGTTAATTCATCAATGTAATTGTGATAAAATAATCCATTAAAGTTTATCAATATTTACCATTATGCACTAGAGTTCTGAACAGTCGATCATTCACACTAATACGTGTAAGGAACGACATTTCCGGATTGAATATTTAACCAGTTTTCTATCCAGTTACAATTTTCAGGAAGCTATTAAACAGGATTGTAAAATTCAACTCTAACCTCTTAATAGGTCCCGCAGCAATTGTCAGCAAGTTTTGCAAAATAATTAGCATTTTTAACTAGTCTTTGCCTAATAAGTAAAGTTGTAGAAAACCGAACGGTGTGAAGAAAATTTAATTGATCGGTCTCAACATCTTTATTGCCTAAAAACTAAATTTAAAACTGCGAACTTCTTAAAAGCAGTTATAGAAAAATAAAATTTCTACAAGTTTACTTATTGACCAAAGACTAGTTAAAAATGCTAATTTTTGTATAAAATCATCTGATAATTGCTGCGGGACCGATTAACATTAAAGAAAGCTGAAAAAGCGTTTAAAGTTTGTTTATAAGCTAAAAGACTAATTGAAAAATACCCTTCATAGATAACCTTTACGATTATCCATTTTCTGATGATTATTGATTTATATAAAACAAGAGGTGCTGTTTTCTGAATATCTACACCGTTTCTCAACAATTTGGTTTCGGCCAACAATTAGTTTAAAGTCAGATGATATATACGGTTTATATGTGACGATCACTTCAATAATTGGCCAATCGATTTTTAAATAGCGTATACAGAAAATGTTACAACTTTATAAAAAATTTAGTCAAAAACTCTTCAAATTAATAGTTTTTAAAGTCAAACTATATTTTTATAAGAGTTTTTTAATTTTATTTATTATTAGATTTTATAAGAGTCTAAATATTGATATATAGTATATAAATTAAAAAATATTGTTTTATAGTAACCTATTACTATAGTAATCTTTTTTTTTTTTTTTTTTTTTAATTAATGGTGGTTTACTTTGCTGAGCGGATTTTATTAGTTTAATATATGAGGTCATCTATTGACAATCTCCTATAGTTTGTAATTACATGAAGAGTGTACAACCTGCCACACGTACAACTTTAGTTATTGTCTAATTTAAGTAGTCCGCCATACAGGTAGATCACCTGTTTGATTCTACACAAGCTGCTATACCTGTAACCCGCTTGTGAGTTACCTATTTAAATACTTTGTTCACCTAATCAATACTGGAATCAACTAACGTCACTGTAACACCTAACTGCTTAAGCCAGCTAGCTCGTTGCAGATCCATTTACCTAACTCAGCTTAGGTCCTCTCAGGATGCGTATTGCTCAACATATTGTGGCACACAGAGCTCCAGTTAACCTCGTAAGCAATCCTACTAGAGTGGTCTATGCCTATTTCATGGATTCACCTAGCTTAGACCCTTGCAGATGTTCGTATAACCCCAGTTTCTACCGTAGCTCTCTACCAGTTTTCTGTGTCTATCTTCTCGGATGTTTCATGAGGCAGATCCTCCCAATCCAGTTAGCCGCCAAGTCAGGTTAGTGTTACCGATCCTCTCTGTGAAATGGATTTATATGCATCTGACTTGATCGGTATCTTTTAATAATAGTTTTTTTTCTGGATCAAGCGTTAGCTGGTATAACTGTCAAAAGCTGTACTACTTCACCTACTTGGGATTTTTACCATGCAGGTCCCCTGCTCGTAGATCCTATCAAGATTTATTCGTGTAATGTTATGCTCTCCGAACATTCTGTCACACTTCCAATATCTGAATGATATTGGTGCAACGTGATTTACAGGGTTACAACTCCAGAAACGAACAGAGTTTACTGTAAGTTAGGTACAAAGGTCTAGGTAATTATTCAAATTCATCAACAGTAGGATTTGAACCTCAAACCTCTTGCATGGTGGTCTGGTAACCTAACCACTACACTAAGATCGCCAGATCTTATTACTATAGTAATCTTATAATTAACTAATCAAAATTGTTATATTTATTTATTATAGAAATAATTTGCTAATTAAAACTAAAAAAGATTATTATTATTATGCCAAGTTATATTAAAAAGAAAAAATATAAAAAAAGTTAATTGCTAATTTACATAAGAAGAATAGGATTTTTTTTTTTTAAATTCAGCAGCCATGCCTCAACTTTATTCAAACAGTTTGTAAACAAACTTTTTACATTTGAAGTAAACTTCTAATATATCTGACTAGTAAGCTGAAACTCACCCGGTTACCCCAAAGGTACCTATATGCAGCGTGCTATAGTTAGTCTTTTAAATCTACACCGTCCAATTCAGTAACCCAAATCTTCTTGTGTTTCAGATGGTCCCAACAACCCAAAAAAAAAAAAAAAAATTGTTACTATCTAAAAGCTCGAAAGCTAACTAACAAAGAAAACCTTGCCTCAAGTTAAAAACTTTGTTAGGCAGTAACATAATAAAAAGGGCTAAAAAAAATGAACAAAATGAAAAAAGAAACAAATGTGCCCTTTAACCTGGACCAGGTTCAAAAATATTAAGTCAGCAGACTTATAACCTATCTCAAATTATTCTTTCTAACGTTATAATCCATCCTTATTGCCTTATAATAGTACATTGATTGCTATTCGCATCTTCTCACATACCCGTGGAACTAGTTTCAACTTTATAAGCAAAACAAAACACGTGTTTTCATGTGTTTGTTTACTGTTTTGTTTATTTTTATAGTCATGCACCTAACAGAGTACGTCTAAAAATGGATATGATAAACAATGCTAATCTTTTGTAAAAATGAACCTAGATTCCCCACTTTTATCAAAAAAAATGAAAGGCTAGT